TCCCCCCTTAAAAAAAGAATGCAAAATATCTCACCAAAGCTTAAAAGAAAATGTGGATCATACGCTAAAATCGTCCTATCTCGGATATAGTGGGGTCCAATAGAATGGTTCATGAAAGCCACCTGTGTCCCTTCTTTAAAGAATATGGCATCATACTTCTATCGGGTCGTGCCGCTCCGAACCACGCCGGGAATCTGACCCACCGCCCCCTCCGGAAGCGGAGGGACAAACTCCCGCTGCACTGAAGGAAAGCGGCCCCTTGCCCGGAGCCACAGGAGCTGAGCGACCTGCCACCAGGACCCAGGTCCCCGGGCAGCAGACACGGGAAGAGTCGCCGCAGCGCGTGGGCGGCTGGAGTCCTCCCGCTCAGCCCGGGCGGCCTTGCGCCCCCACCTCACCGTGGCAGGGGTGATCGTGAGAAAAACGGAAAGACGTCGGATTATCTCCCGCGGCTCAGAACAAACGCAAACCCCTCGTGCCTCCGCGCCCCTCCCCGGCGGGGCGGCCCCCGCGTCTCGCGTCCGCGTCCGCGCAGCTCGGGACGCGACTCGGCCGTGGCCTGCGCTGCCCAGGCTTATTCCCGCCTCCCGCGGTTCCCTCCGCCCGCAAATCTCTTCTCCCCCGAGACGGCTTTGTGATTTGTCCCTTTGCTTTATTCGGGTCTCTGCTCCAATGCCACCTCCTCGAAGAGGCCTGGCCCTGACCCCTGTGGACACCGGCTCTGGCTCCCCGCTCCGTAGCCCATCTTATTTTCCTTCGTTGCCTTAATCAACTACGTGACCTGACTTATTTGATTATTGCCTGTCTCTCCCAGACTGTGAACCCCGTAATGGGTGGGGGCTTTTTTGTTCACCTCAGTGTTCCTAGCACCTGACACAAGGGTCACGGACACGCTCAGCAAACGCCTGTTGAATGAATTATTAACCTAATGCTGGATTAAGTGATGGAAGAGACAGGACATCTGGTCCCTGCCCTCCAGCCCCATCCAGTGAGGAAAAAAGCGAGACCCAAGGAGTAGGTGGCCGCCCATGAGGGCCCAGCCTGGAGGACGCAGTCTGGGCAGGCGGGAGGAGAGATTCAGGCGGTCTTCTAGAAAGATCCTAGAGGGGCAGAAACACGGGAAAGGGAGGGCCTTCCTGACAAGGGACCAACCCAAGGGAATTCTGGGGCTGGAGCTGAGAACATCAAGTGCTCCCGGGGGTCAGGCCGGAAGCTTCTGGGCCTCACACCTGCCTGGAGCAGCAGGGCAGCACCCCTGAAACCCAGAGTCCTCTGGTGCCCGCACCTTAATGTGACCGACCAAGTCGGCACCGTTTACTGGGCACGTTCTCAAACCCTCGCAGCCGCGCTTTGATTCCATTTTCCAAGAAGCCGACGGCCAGAGGGGCTAAGTCACTGACCCAGACTCACCGGCTCCGCGTCCAGAACCCAGGTGTGCGGAGCCCACCCAGCTGCTCCTCCTCCGTCACACGGAGACCCCGGGAGAGAGTCAGGGGTGGGGAGTGGGGGGCAAATCCACCGCCCGAACCTCAGGCCGATCGCTGGGACCTGCCGGGGACACAGGCTCCCAGCTACGGAGCCAGAACCTCGGGTTGGGCCCCGCAGTCTGGTTCTGAGGCTCCCTGAGGGCTCAGACCCCATCCTGGAAGAGGGGGTGGCTCTGCTTCCTGGGGTGCGTAGCACAGCGCCACGGGGCGGCGTGAAACGGCAGCAGCTCACTCCCTGCCGGCCGCATCTGCGTCGCGGTGCGTGATGGGCCGCGGGCCCCCTTCCCCGCTCCTCCGCTCCAAAGGCTGCCTTCCACTCCACGAGGCTCCCCCCGCGGGGCCTGGTGCCTCTGGTAAGGATGCCCGTGCCCCATGATCCGTCGGCCTCACCCCAGGACCCTTAACTTGATCGCACCTGCAAAGACTCTTTTTCCAACTACAGTCCGGTTCACAGGTCCTGGGGGTGAGGGTGTGGCCTTACCTTCTGGGGACCCACCACTCAACCCACCGCGAGGGCAGGGGGACAGCAGAGGCCAGTGGGAGCGTGTGTGGGGTGCGAAGTGCGTCGGGGGAAACAGGCCGTAGAGCGGTGGCCCCTGTGCCAGCAGCGCTGCATGACGTGGCCGGCGAAGCAAGGCCCAGAGCCGCGGGAGGGACAAGCCACAAGGCCCGAGGCCTGGGGGCTCCGGTCACTCTGGGGAGGCCCGTCTGCCATGGCAAAGTCCCCAAGCTGCCCCTGAGGGCCTAGGGGAGCCAGAGACCACTGTCAGCACCTCCCACCACGCCTGCTATGCTGTGGGGCCTGGCCGAGGGGTCCCCAGGGACATGCGAGGTGGCACACGGACGGCCTGGCATGGCTATTTTGGGCTCCAAGGTTATATGCTACCGCTTTCGGACGTCCCAGAGGATCGGGAGTTGATTGCTACATGAGTCTGGGGCAGAGGCCGCTCCGAGGTGGGCGGGCGGGCACAGAGGTGGACTCTCAGCTCCCGGGGGCAGCAGCGGTGAGATGCTACTTACTGGGGGACAGGGACCCACAGGTGTCCTCTGAGGCCTATAGTTCCTCGGTGCCCTGCGGTTCAGTCCACGGCTTCCTCTTGGGATGTCCAAGCACCCTCTGGCCTGCCACTTCCTGCACACCCATCTTTTACCTTCTAAGACCTAGGTGCCCCTCCCCACCCACCCTGGTCCCCATTGTTCACCGGCCAATTGGACCCCAAGCCCCAGCACGGCCAGGCATCCACCGAGACCCGCACCCAGCACACACCTCGCCTCCCCCGCCGCCCCGGCCCCTTCCCCGCCCCCAGGGAGCTGCCCCCACCCCTGGGCCCAGCTTGGGTCCTGGAAGCTCACTTCACCTTCACCCAGCACCCAGCAGGAGGCGTGACAACGCAGCCACTGTTTATGGCTCATTCTGTGTGCCGGGCGCTGGGCTTTATACAGACATACGATGCCGTTTAACCCTCCAGGCACCCGCTTCTCCCCACGAACAGAGAAGAACCTGGGGCTGGGAGCTCAGGGACAGCGTTGGGGGCGCCGCCCAAGGGGTCT